AAACCAGTTTTATTAAGTAAAGGCTTGTGTCGCGTAAGTTTCGTCGGTACGAAGTTACGGAAAAATCAATTAAAAACGGAGACGTAACAGTATGAATAGAGCCCACCAGGCCTCATTTTATTTTAGTTGATTTGGCATTTAGGCTTAAATCCGCCCCTGTTTCTTCATCTAATAAACTCTTTTGTTTATTGTGTTTATTCATTTTACATTTCAGATCAGACTGTATATTCTGTTTCTTTATTAAATTTACATTCCAGATCAGATTGTATATTCTATTTATTAAGTTTACATTTCAGATCAGATTGTATATTCTGTTTCTTTATTAAGTTTACATTCCATATCAGATTGTATATTCTGTTTCTTTATTAAGTTTACATTTCAAATCAGATTGTATATTCTGTTTCTTTATTAAATTTACATTTTCAGATCAGATTGGATATTCTGTTTCTTTATTAAGTTTACATTTCAGATCAGATTGGATATTCTGTTTCTTTATTAAGTTTACATTTCAGATCAGATTGGATATTCTGTTTCTTCATCTAATAATTTGTTTGTCATATTCTATTGGCCTAGCATGATCTGGTGGTTAGGGCGCTCGACTCGCAACCTGCTGGTCACGTTATTGAAACCCATCATCGAATATATTCGCCCTTTCACTCGTGAGGGCGTTATAATGTTACTGACAATCACACTATTCGTTGGTAAAGAGTAGCCCAAGAGTTGGCGGTGTGTGGTACTGAATAATGTATTTAGTGTATTACAATAAAACAAACAAACTTATTTTTGTGGGGAAAATATATAAATAAATTAACTGTAATGACAAAAAATAAAACAGTAGTAGAATAGTTTTATTCTGAATGAATTTTTTTTTTCATTACGAAGTCAACAGACGTATAGTTTAAAATAGTCCACAAGTTTCATTCTAACGAGAAAATTCATGACGTGAATTTTCTTTAGTTTAAGTTACTTCCGTGATGTAACTGCCTCTGTGTTGGACATTAGAGTTAAATAAACCAGAGATATTATTCATTCTTTACCTCGTAGTCTTTACTTAAGCCTTCTCTGGAGAAACAAATCACGATTATTTGTAACTCTGGTCATTTGCAGTTGACAATCATAATAGCTCAGAGGGATTTGCAACGGAAACACAAGGTATTCTACAGAGTAGCTGACATATGTATGGCACTGAATTTTATTCTCGACCCAGTGATCTACGTACTGTCAAGAAGACCACACAGACAAGATTTATGGAGCCTCTTGAAATCCTTTTGTCTCTACTGTTTTCCACAATTAAGATGGGTGAAAAGTAGCGATTCCAGAGCGTCTCAAAGGAACAGTAGCTTCCCATGGAACATTGATAGTAAGTCAACAATTTCACTGTTCTTCTTATCCGTACATTTTACGTTTGGTTACTCTGTTTTTTTATTTGTTTATGTTTTGTTAGTGTAACTTTTGTGTAGGAACTTACATAACTTACTCCTGATGGTTTTGTAGTAACTTGCATAGCTTATTCTTATTGGTTTTGTAGTAACTTACATAACTTACCCTTGATGGTTTTCTTGTAATTATATAACTTACTGTTAATGATTTTCTGGTAACTTACATAACTTACTCCTGATGGTTTTGTAGTAACTTACATAGCTTATTCTTATTGGTTTTGTAGTAACTTACATAACTTACCCTTGATGGTTTTCTAGTAATTATATAACTTACTGTTAATGATTTTCTGGTAACTTACATAACTTATTACTGATGGTTTGTAGTAACTTACATAACTTACTCTTGTTGTTGTGTAATACTTTATATAACATTATTAAAATTTTGTACATTGTAAATACTGTGTTAAAGTTGTAGTTCTTACACGACGACACTACTAGAATTACTGGGTTACTTGTAGTTCTTACACAACGACACTACTACAACTAACCCAGTAATTCTAGTAGTTCTTACACAACGACACTACTATGTCGTTGTGTAAGAACTTTACTAGAATTACTGTGTCAGAATTTTTACAAACTGATATATTTTGATAACGTTATTCAAGAGGAGAGAGTAATTATTATCATATTCCCTAATTTAAGTGCCAGCCGCCAACCACTTGACGTGTCATGATGGCATTCCTGATCGGTATGTGAATTCCGTTTATCCTTCCCTCGCCTGGACTTGTTTCACCTTTTATTTGTTGTTTATGATACGTTGTATGGTGTCACCTTTTCTTTTGTGTGTGTGCTTCCTGTATTCGTGTAGACCGTTCTTCTCTTTGTTTAACAAGAAGGTCTGTTAAATCACGTGCGTAGGAATGTTTGTTCTGCCATAGTTGAAAAATATCATATATTCAAACACACAAATACCAGTTTAACAGGTAATTGGAGTTCATTTTGTAATCTTATTCCTTTGTATCTGTATGAGTAAACTCTCTATTATACTGTTACGTGTCTGTTCGTTTGCTAATTTCCGGTATAAATTCTTTCCGAGGAACTTCAGCGATACAAGTCCTTTCTTAAATAAAACTAGTTTATTCTTTCTCGATACAACTTTGTAATACACAGAATTTCCACAGTCACTTTAACTTAACTACTTTTATGAACTCACGCTATAATTCACAGCGATTCACACACTTTACTTACGGTGCCTACTGTTCGCTTGACTCAATTATATATCTCTACGTCTATCTATTTATGCAATTCTATCTTTTCGATCTATCTGCCTATCGCTGGCTTTCTTTGCCAGGCTTATATACTAAAAATGAGGGCGTCTGGAACAAACTAGAGTTGCCAGGAAAATTCATGATCCTTCAAGAAACTCCAGCGCGCATGCTCCCAGCGTTGCGTGACTTCCGCTGTTGTAACAATACAAATGTTCTGTCCATCATTGGTCAGGCTCTTTAATTAGCACGTTCTTTTAGACCATTTAACAAGTTTTTTTCATTGGTCCCGATATAGTCTTTGTGACTCTAGTAACAACTAAAATTATAAACAAAATTTGATGCCATTATTTCAGGAATGACCCCGAAGTATTGAACACCATTTTTTTTCGGACACCTTCTGGCAAGCTTATCATTAAGCCACGACCGGCCCACCACCACCAGGGGACAACATTTTAATTCATTAAAGGGACCATTTATTAAACGCTCGTGAGACGTCTGTAGTGCTTCTTTATTGTTGACAACTCATAAACAAAAGAACACTAAGGTTGACAAATCTTAAATTAGGTGCTATTGTTCCCGAATTATGTCACGTGTAAATGTTTTCTTTTTGTTGTTGTTTTTTTTTTTTTTTTT